GCATAAATGTGGCACAGAACGATAAGTTTGAAATGGAAACTTATTCGTACACCCAGCAAAAACATGATGTTAATGTGATTCAGAGAGACGATCAGTGATTGTTTAACGCAAATGTTACGGGTTGGCGAAATTAGAAACGCATACATTCATTATGAAAAGGTGAGCTTAAGATACCAACGCTTAAGAAAGCAAAGGTATGTCCAAACATGACAAAAAGGGCCCTACTCCACGTAGTACGAAGGCGACTATTTCCTATTTGTTGTAGGGAGTAGTAGTAGGCGATGAAGGGTTAAATAGGCCAGAAATCCTCACCGCATACTCATCAGTGATACCGGCATCATTGGCTCCAGCAGCGTCAACATCCTTAACGACAAACCGCAGAGTGTTGGCGAAGGAAGTGGTGAGAGAGGCATTCCCAGGTAGCTTGACAATTACGTATGTCGGAGCAGGAGAGTTGAAGGGTAGAGTTTTGATAGGTAGGTGATTAAGCACCTCAAATTCATCGTCTGCCACCTCCACATCCACATAGACGTCTTCAAGCACTTGGTTCTCCATCGTATTTGTCACATCATACTGAAAAGCATGAGAAAACCTATTTAACCAACATAGTTTTCGCCCTAATCCATTAACATAAACACTTCAACATTTAATGCTTCCCATACCATTTAAGCAAATACGGCGTTGTGTCACTACAAATTGAAGTGTTCAACAAAATCTTCCTTGATACATACAGATACGGCACTAAGCAAACGAGCAGTGTCGAATGCAATAACACTGAAGGTCCTTCAGTCGAAGCATTCAGGCTCGTTGCACCCCTTTCTCATGCGGCATTATGCTGGATTAAATTTGGCAGAAAACTGACACAGTCGGAAAGCAAGCAGTAGTAGGGCATTGATAGGAAGACAATAATATTTGGGAGGATTAAGATAATTGATACAATGCTATTAGCAAAGCACTGAAATCGTTCTTAATAACATGGGGATAGACATGTGAATTTATGCAAATTCTGATCAGCATGAATAGGTAAAGGGTCGAAACAACTCCGTAAATGCTAACTACAAGGACACGTAAAACTATACTCTAGTGAATCGATAAATGGCGAAATAGGTTATTAACTCTTAATCAGAGCAATAGACGAATTTAACCTCGACCGGTGAGAAGAAGTGTGAAATCGAAAGGACTGCTGGCAAAGATACGACGAAGTGAGAAGTTGCAAGGCCGTTGAAGAAATGCCAAAAAAACAGATAGTTTGTTTAGCAACTTTTGGAAAAAAACAGATAAGAGGTTGTCCCAGTGCCTAAGACACAAAAATGAAATTCAAAAAAATTGGGTGCAATAAGCTCATCGGAGATGACTAACGACTTACCTGAAGAACGAGGTGGTGGAGGAAGGTGTGAATCACGCACGTAACGACGTATTCTGTACCAGGGTCGGTGAGCTCGTAGTCGTTGGAAGACTTGAAGAGAGGCCCAAGGGCTTTTGTCTCGGGAATGGCTTCCAACTCCTCTGCAAAGCGGTCCTGACGTCGCGTTCCCAAGCCCGGTACAGACCCTGGCACCGTATCCATTACTGTGCCGAACTTTGCACTGTCGCCTTTAAACAGAGGGAAAGGAAAATACTGGGTTTAGAGCCTATTGACCGTAATGACTAAATTTCTTGTCATTTTAATTCTGCAAAGCAAATTTCTGCCCCAAACCACAAAACACTTAGAT